GCTCCACTAGCTCAAGCTGTTACTGGACCAAATGCAGGAGGAAGCTTCTTCATCTCGAGTCACACGGGCAATGGCAGTCAGAGTGACCCTTGTGTGAATGCAGAGGGGCTGCCCCAGAAAATGAACACAGGAGCTTTAACATGGCTAAGTTCTCCAGCCCTGCACAACCACCACCTGCAGTAAAGTCCCTCGAATCCTGCACCCCAGCAGCTAAGTCCCTCAGCCCACATCCTCCAGAGGCTAAGTCCCTCCAGCCTACACCCCCCAGTAGCTAAGTCCCTCCAGTCTGCACCTTCCAGTGGCCATCTTTCTAGCTGTGCTTGCCTAAGGCTCTTAAACTCCAAGGTGTCTCGGAAGCTGGGGAAGCAGAAGTCCTCCCCCACCCTCAGCACCCCCACCTCTATCCAGACACCTGCTGATAGCTCTGGCCACACGCTTCAGCTGCTCCTCAGCCGAGGCTGTCTGCTGCTGCCCCCGGCGACAGGCTTCCTGGGCACGGCTCAGCTCCAGCTGCAGGGCCTGTGAAGGAAAGGGTCCTTTCTCTGGGGCCTTGGCCCACTGACCAGGGCTCCCAGGCCTCCCTTAGCCCCTGACTGTGGCCGATTCTGACCTTGGCGCCCATCCGCTCCACCTCCACCTGCGCAGCTTTGTCCTCCAGGGAGCGCTGCAGGATGGCTTGCTCCTGGCTCTGGGCGGACTGCCACCTGGGGGGGAAGAGGCAGGCGGGCACTGGGATCGAAGGGGCAGGACAACGGTCTCAAAATGAACTCCCCCCGGGGAGACAAGCAGCTTGGCCTCCTGAGTCCAGATCTCCACACAGAGCCTGTGCCCTGCGCCAGGAGGAGGGCCGTTCCGCACCATCGCACCTAAGGCTGCCCCCTGGTCTGTCGTGTAGTGGGTCACCCCACTCTTCACAGCACACAGATTTCTTGACGTTACCTGACTGTCTGCTTTGCCTGTTGTGTCTGCTGCAGGACCTAAGCTCTGTCTTTGTTTAGGGCTGCTCCCAGCTCGTGGCAGCCACTCGGTAATGCTGGTTAACTAAACGCCACCCATTATGTAATGGAAACAGGGATAACCATGGGGAGGAAGAACGCCAAGTGACCTGTCCCTTCAGCTGCTGCACGCACGCTCCGTGCTCCAGTTCCTGGGCCTTTAGCTGCACCATGAGGGCAAACACCTTCTCCCGCCAGTGCTTCAGCAGGGCCTGGCTCTTCCTGGAGAACTCGGGCTCCAGGGAATCTGAGGGTTGCACCTGTGGGCGGGGGAAGCGGTCGAGTGGCTCCTGGGAGCAGAGGAGGAAGCTGCATCTTGGTTTCTCTCTGGGCTGCCCAGGTGACAGGAGCCAGAGAGAGCAGAGGTGTGTGTGCAGGGAGGGGAGCTCTCAGCAGGGCCCGCCCACAGGGAGGCGAGGGTCCTACCTTCCTGGCCAGCTCCTCTTCCTGCATGGACAGGATGCACGTGAGGCTCTGCACGCGCACCTGCAGCAGCTCCGCCGTTGTGTGCAGGCCATCCCGGTCCTCCTGCAAGTGCTGCCAGGGAGCAGGGCGGAGAGCACCGGTCTGCACCCTTCCCTCCTGGGGCAGGTCCTCCCAGGTCCTGGGCCACCCACCTGCACAGATGTGCCCTGCACCCTCACCTGCACGGTCTCTAGAAGTTTCAGTCGCTCTGACTCCCATGCCTGGCCGTGAATCTCGGGGGGAACTTGTTCCCCCACATATCTCCTTAGCTTCTCAACCAAGGTCACCTGAGCCTCCAAGTCTTCTTGGGTCTTGCTAGGATGAGTGTGGGAACAGGACAGCCATCAGGGGCACCACCTGCTGGGCCCCCCTTGGCGACCCACCAACTTACCTCAGCTGCTCCCGCAGCAGCTCAGCCTCCCTCTGGGCCATGGCCAGCTCCTGGGCTTCCCCGGCCCTGCTGGTTTCCAGACCGGCCAGAGACTTCTCCAAGCCCTCGGCTTTGCTGGTCAAACTGGAAAGAGCCTCCTGGTGAGCCCGTGTCAAGGACGACAGCTGCAGAGAGAGGGGTCTCAGCAGGGGCTGGCTCACCCCCACACCTGGGCTTTCCAAATCTCCCCTGGCTCTGGCCGTGTCTCCCACTTCCTGTGACCTTAGACAACAGCCCAGCACGGCGCCCACAGGCCTCAGAGGCCTGGCAAATGGGGCCGACCCTAGAGCCTTTAGGTCCCATCACACTCCAACTCATCAGCAGTTCCTGTCTGGTCTTCCCCCAAATCATATCTTCACTTCTCTCCACCTCCAGCCACCAGCCTGAGGTAGGCCATCCTCACCTCTGGTCTAGACGACAGCAACCATCCCCTGACCAGTCCTGAGGAACCTCCAGCGGCTGGCATTCTGAGCAAAACCCGGCTCCTTCCCTCGGCTGCAACGTCCCGGGGGCCTGGGCCCTGCCCACTGCTCTGAGCCTATTCCTATGGCTCTTCTCAGACCCACGTCACCTCCGCTCCCTCCTCGGGAGGCCTCCCAGGGCCCTCCAATCCCCACCCACCACCACTCTGTCCTGCTGCCTGCCCCTGGCCTCCAGCACTTGCTGTCATCTGAGAGGACCTGGCAGTCCCACAGCCCACACAAAGGAAGCTCTAGGAAGGCAGGCGGCTCGCCCTTTCCTCGTTGCACCTCTCAGGGTGTCGGGGACACTGAGGGAGTCGTGGGACAGACAAGGAAGCGGGAACACGGCTGTCCTCATCTCCAGTTGGTCTCCCTTCGCCCATTTCCACGCCACATTTAGAGTGAACTTTTTGGACATAAATCACAAATATAGCATGTCATTTCCCTGTTTTAAACCTTTCACTGGTTGCTCATTGTTCTTTTTTGAAAAAATATTTTTTTATTGATTTCAGAGAGGAGAGAAATATCAATGATGAGAGAGACATCAATAGGCTGCCTCCTGCACACCCCCTACTGGGGGCTGAGCTCAAAATCCAGGCATATGCCCTGACCCAGGATCCAACTGTGACTTCCTGGTTCATGGGTCGACGCTCAACCACTGAGCCATGCCACTAAGCCAGGCGCTGATTGTTCTTAAGATAAAGTTCTGGATGGGTCTGAGGCCTCACAGTCCCAGGACCATCCAGAGCCCCTCAGCTCCTGCCCTCAAACCCTTCTGGCCGCCTCCTATCCCACGTGCTGCCCCGTGTCACAGCAGCTCCCATCTCCACCGTTCATGCCTGACAAGCCAACTTCTACTCAGAACAAAAGTCACCTCTTGCCCTGGCTGGTTTGGCTCAGTGGATAGAGTATCAGCCTGCAGACTGAAGGGTCCCAGGTTCGAATCTGGTCAAGGGCACATGCCCGGGTTGCAAGCTCGACCGGGAGGGTGTGCAGGAGGCAGCCAGTTAATGATTCTCATCATTAATGTTTCTTTCTCTTTTCCCCCTCTCCCTTCCTCTCTGAAATCAATAAAAAAATTTTTTTGAAGTCACCTCTTATCATTATGCATCTTTTGCAAATCTAAAGGCATTTATATTTTTCTTTGCAGTATCTCTGGCTGGATTACTGTTTTCCTTGTATCAATTTCTACACACACATTATATAGTAGAGATATTTGCTTCTTTCTGTGATATGAGCTGTAAATATTGTTCCTAATTTACCAGGTGTTCTCTTTTTTTTATTTCTTTATTGATTTCAGAGAGGAAGGGAGAGGGGGAAAAGAGAAAGAAACATTAATGATGAGAATCATTAACTGGCTGCCTCCTGCACACCCTCCCGGTCGAGCTTGCAACCCCGGGCATGTGCCCTTGACTGGAAGCGAACCCAGGACCCCTCAGTCTACAGGCCGACACTCTACCCACTGAGCCAAGCCAGCTAGGGCTACCAGTTGTCCTTATTTTACTTTTATTGCCATTCCTAAGTTTACCAGTAGTGTTATACAGTCAACATTCCAACTTCTCTTTAGTGGCTCAGCATCTTGATTCACATGTAAAGACCTTCCCCACTCAAGGTTACCAGGAATTCACCCAGATTTTCTTCCGGTATCATTATGGTTTCATTTCTTAACATGCTGACTTGTTAAAATGACCTTTCTAACTCCCCTACTAGCTTAAGGCTCCCTTGTCCTTCTTCATGGCACTTCTCCCAATGGCAGGCAACTACTTAGGATTAAATCAAGTGTTGAATGTGTGTCCCCCTCTAGGCCGCCAGCTGCACCCAGGCGGGCAGGGACTCGCTGGGTTCCCCAGAGGCCCAGCTCCTGTCTCAGGGATGGAAGAGTAAGCACTGATAAATGCTTACCAACTGAACAGTCTCCTTCCCAGTTCACCTCGGGACCTGCCCCGCCAGAGCTCCCAGATTAATGGGGTACCCAGAGTGAGGCGGGAAGACAAACTACTTCCTACTGAGGGGAAGGAGGGCTTCAGGTGGTGGGTGATCAGCTGAGCCCTGGGAACAAGAGCGATCTGAATAATGCCAACACCAAGGTCCCCCTCTTTCCAGGGCACGCTTTTCACCCCTCCACGGCTCGCGGGCGTCTTTCCCGTAGCTGCTTTCTGCAGGAAAGCCCTGGCCAGACCCCCACTGTGAAGGCGAGGCCCTCCCACCCCCCTTCACCTGCTCCTGGTGCAGCCTCTGAACCTCCTCCAGCTCCCGCTGGCTCCCCTCCTCCAGGTTCTTCCGGACCACCTCCGCCCCAGCCAGGGCGGCACGCAGGCCCTCGGCCTCAGCTCGGCCAGCCTTCTCCGCCCGTGCCAGAGCCTCCAGCTCCATGGCCTGGGTCTCCAGCTTCATCTTTTGCTGTAGCGAGTTTTCCTGCAGGACCCGGACCTCCTCCTCCAGCCGTCGCACCTCCTGCAGCTGCCGAGAGATCAGCTCTGCCTGCTGGCGCAAGGCCTGCGACCCCTGCAGCTCCACGGACCTTGAAAGACAGGGTAGCACGGGTGAGACCTGTCTCTGGGGCTGCAAAGGTGGCCCCAGGGGAAGAGCTCCCTCTGCTCACATGTGGGAATGAACCTGGACCTTAGGGATCTCTGCATTTCCATCACCATCGCCCTTCAGCAAGGCCCTACTAAGCACATCAGGTCTAGTCTCTGGGCTCATGGCCCTCTAGAGCAGTGATTATCAACTGTGTGCCACAAGAATTTTTAAAACATGCAATACCTAACTATTTAGTCAGGGGGACTGACCTCCTTCCCTTAGATTGTCAAGTAAAAAAAATGACACCAGCCAACAAAATAGCTGTGGGATGTGACTATTTGGTCTTGGACCATAAATACATAGGTCATATAGAGTTGCATCTTATTGGTCACGTTGAATAAGGTTGCATCTGATTGGTTCATTCTTGGTATCAGAAATCCTTATATAAATTACAAGTATAGGCACCTAACTTTTTATTTACTTAATTTTTAAAAAATATTCTTTCATTGATTTCAGAGAGGGAGGAGAGATAGAACAGCAACAGTGAGAGAGAATCATTGATTGGCTGCCTCCTGCATGCCCCTCACTGGGGATAAAGCCTGCAACCCAGGCACGTGCCCTGACTGCGAATCGAACCATGACCTCCTGGTTCATAAGTCAACGCTCAATCACTGAGCCATGCAAGTTGGGCAGCACCTGACTTTTTAAAAAGTTACTTTGGCCGAAACTGGTTTGGCTCAGTGGATAGAGCGTCGGCCTGCGGACTGAAAGGTCCCAGGTTCGATTCCGGTCAAGGGCATGTGCCTGGGTTGCGGGCACATCCCCCACTGGGGATGTGCAGGAGGTGGCTGATCGATGTCTCTCTCTCATCGATGTTTCTGACTCTCTATCTCTCTCCCTTCCTCTCTGTAAAAAATCAATAAAATATATTTAAAAAAAAAAAAAGTTACTTTGAAGCAGAAAGGGTAGGTAATTATTATTTTGTAAATCAATCAAAAGTATACCTATTTTTTGGTCAGAAAGGCAAAAAATAACATTTTTTGGTGTGTCGCAAATTTTAGTAATGTGCCATGAGATGAAAAAGGTTGAAAATCGCTGCTCTAGAGAGAGCTATACACAGGCTGATGTCTTAACAGCAACTGTGCGTATCACTGGGCCACACATTCTGAAGAGGTTGGAAGTGCAGGGAGGGACTTCTGAATTCTGATTTAAGAGCTCCCGGTATCAGTACGGCCAGGTGCTGGCTGGGAGCGTCTACAGCAGTGGTTCTCAACCTTCCTAATGCCGCGACCCTTTAATACAGTTCCTCATGTTGTGGTGACCCCCAACCATAAAACTATTTTTGTTGCTACTTCATAACTGTAATTTTGCTACTGTTATGAATCATCATGTAAATATCTGATATGCAGGATGTATTCTCATTGTTACAAATTGAACATCATTAAAGCTTAGTAATTAATCACAAAAACAATATGTAATTATATATGTGTTTTCCGATGGTCTTAGGCGACCCCTGTGAAAGGGTCGTTGGACCCTCAAAGGGGTTGCGACCCACAGGTTGAGAACCGCTGGTCTAGAGTCAGGTACGCTGAGTGAGGGGTTCTTGAGTGAGGGGTTCGGGAGGACAGCACGTCAATGAACTATGCAGGCCCACCTTCAGCGAAGTCTCCTGGTGCACATGCAGCTTAAAGCAGCGGTCGCCAACCTTTCGGACCTCACGGGCCACCAGTGGCCCGCAACCGCTGCTGAAGCACCTGTGACCGGCTCTTGGCACAGCTCCTCACTGAGGCGCGGGCCGCAGGACTTTCTAAGCAGGGAACGACAGCCTACAGCAACGAAGTGAACGGCCACACGACCGCAGCCGGTGCCAAGCCAGGAACAGAGAGCCGTGTCCTGGCAGCAGCTGTGGTGCTCCCTGTCGTCGTCATGCTCCTTGCCCGCTGGTGGGGCCCCGGGAGACCCACCCGCAATCCCACTCTAGAGCACAATGCACAACGGCTGCCAGTTTATCAGGGAAAAGACACGCAGGAACCATCGATGAGAAGCTGTACGGACAGCATGTTGACAAGTAGCAAGCCCACTCAGACGGCACCATCGCCAGAATGAGTCCACACTAGCACAGGACACGGTATCTTGCCTGATTATGATCAGCTGTCGGTCCCTTGGAATTTTAAGGAAATCCTTGATATCAGGATTTCTCCTATGTGTTTGTTATGCCACCCCCAGCACCTAGCATGCTCTTCATACTATTGATGCACTGTAGGCACCAATACTTGCTATGGATAAAGGAACAAATGATGGGACTCGGGGCTGAACTAGGGCAAGGACCTATCTCAGTGAAGGGCCACAGCAGGCAAGCCTGAGAGCGCGGCAGCGGCCCCTACCTGCCCCTCCACCCCGGCTCCTGCCCATCGCCACAAACGTCCTGCTCCCACACGATCCCCGGAGGCCTCTGGAAGTCTGGCCGCCGCTCTGAGACGCCTCGATGGGCGAGGGGGATGTCTGAGACCCAGGTGGGAGCCATTCTCGGCATGGCTGGAAGGGGCTGCGCTTGGAAGTGGGACGGGGGGATGAGCCCCGTGGAACCTGAGGAATCACAAGGACAGACGGTCAGTTTCCCGGGAGAGAGAGACAGCGGCAGTCCCCGCCGGGTCCCACTGACCTGAAGGTCGAAACATCTCCACATTATTTGGAGCCTCTAGATCCTGTGTCCAGCCATCTACGTCCCCCTGGACAAGAGGAGAAACACGAGCACTGCAAGTCAGCGATCAGGCCTCCCCCAGAGGGAAAGCCCCTCCGACAAAGTCTCGGTCCTCAGACCAGAGCCAGGCCGAGCTCCTCTTCCTACTTCCAGGAAGAGGAAGGAGACGCCCAGAGCCTGCTGGACCCAGCCTGCTCCTGGCACAGCCATGGCCACAGCCAGGGCGGGGAACGCTACTGAGAGGCTGGCAGGGTCCGGGCGCGCCTTTACCCTCCTCCTCAAGTTCCTACGGACTCGGCCATTCCTGGTCGCGGGTGAGGAAGGTGTGCGGTGCAGGGGCTGCGAGCCCGGGCTCCAGAGTCCCCGCCAAGGCTCGGCAAGGCCCGGGGGAAGCCCATCCACACACCACGCCAGGACCCCCGGGTCCCTCCCGACCAAAGCGCTGGCCCGCGGCCTGG